TAATTGGACTCTTGTACAATGAAAACCTCTTTCATTAATTTGTTTTGTTATTTTATTCCAAACTTGTTCATTTTTAATAGAAGTATTTTTAAAATCTTTGTAATTCTCTTTAAATAATTCAATGAGCGATAATATTGCATTTCTACTCCATTTTCCAACAGTAGCACAATTTTCTTTATTTTCTTCTTTGGTGTTATCAATCGTATTTAATTGTTCTGTACATTCACTTATAAATTTATGTTCAGTTGACTTGTATGTGTCATCACAATCCGTCATTTTTTTGTTAAAAAAGTTCAAAATTTCTAGCGTTGGAGTGACAGAAAACATTTGGTTATCTGAAATTATGTTATTAATTCTTATCATGAAATTATGTACTTAGAAAAATTAACACGTATAATAACATAATATAATAACCACCAACGAGTCGTCTTATCCTAGGTTTGTTGAGTCAAAGTGCGTAAGGTATTGAACTTGTTATATCTACAAAGAATAGTATACAATAGTTCATTATATATAATATATAATATACATATATGTGTATTATATATACATTATAATATACATTATAATGATATAATTGTTGTATACTAATTTATAGATATAACAAGTCGACATCTTGACTCAAAAATGTAAGGATGAATCGTTGTCCATGGATATATATAAATTTATTTTTACTTACCTATAACATCCAAAACTAACCAATCTCCATTTGCATTTTTTAATATGTTTCCATCTACTTTAACAAGAATATGTCTTTTTTCAACAAGATTGATTTGTTCCATTATTGTTTTTAAGAAGCGAATTGAGGTTATGCGATTGACGTAAATACTCTACGCATGCGTTTTGTCTTAGAGTGATTATTAACCCTGTAAAGACTGGTGTGATCTGGGCGACACTCTGCAGACACTCTAACTAGTTCTCGAACGGATTAACGAGTAACACACTAGAGTTCTCGAACGATGATTTGAGTAATAATTACACCGGAGTGCTGTTCTCGAACGCACCCCAGCGAGTGTTTCGTTAGTCTGATCGAACATTGTTTTTATATTGTTTGTGTTTGAGTGTGCTATCGCCGACACTAATCCATTTCTTACAGCTGTCGTGTTCGCCGAGCCGAGAGAGTTTGGCTGCTAGCGATGCGAGGTGACGTCAGTGTTTAGATCCGCGAGATCGCGAGAGTGTTGTGATTCCGAGTGTCGTCCTGTTATCGTGTAAAAGAAACGCGATAAACAGCTGATCCGTGTGTTGGCCTTTGCATTAATATTATCACGCCTTTTAAATAAGTTAAAGTGAGATTCGGGAATTAAGAGTGCGGTGCGAAATCGATGGACGGTGGTGCTCACCCACGCGGAGAGTCCAGCGGTGAAGGCTGCTCTTGGCTCTCGATAATTAGTATTCGACTTTCGAGAATTATTAATCGAAAATTATTTAGATCAGAATGCGACCGCGAATCGTGGAAGATAGCTGAAGGAGGCCAGAGTCTCGACTCGTGGGTTGCCGAGACGACAGCGGACGAATTGCGCGAGCAATTAGGAAAGCGGGGACAGCGAACGGATGGATCGCGACCGGTTTTGCGGGCTCGCCTCGTGCGGTACGAACGAACCCTACAGGGTGGACTCGAGATGCCGCCGCTTACGCCGGCGAGCGAGCTGTCGGAAAGGAACGAGTCAGCCGCCCTCGAAGAAGGCGCGCTCGAGAAGCAGGGTGCGATTAGCCCCGCGCGCGGGACGGGTAGCGAGTCGGAGGATGCGGAGACGCAGACGCGGTACCGCGAAGCAGCACCCGAACGAGGCGGGTAATAACGATCCGCTTGCTGCCGATCCGTGTACGACCAATTTGCACGCGGTGGAGGTGCGCGCTACTGAGCCGCCTATCACAGGCCGGCGCGGCGCGCTTCCACGAGATGCCGAGCTATGCCTCACGGGCGTAGGCATAGGCGATCCGCGAGCTGCCGAGCCGTATATCTCGGACATGCCGAGAGCATATCCTGGAGATCCGCGAGTTGTCGAGCCATGCATTGCGAGACCGTGCACTGGCGATCCGCAAGCTGCCGCTTGGGGGCCGCTCCATGGAACGTTTGCGACTCGTGCACCAGAGTCGTCGAATCATCAACGAGGGGGTTCGTCTGCTGCCGACGCGTATAATACGATGCGGCGTAGGAATCTAAGTTTTTCGGGCGCGCGCGGAGCTGACGTCGAAGCCTTCCTTCTTCGGATTGAGGAAAGACGGGCGCTCGTATCAATAAACGATGACGATTAAATGTTTGCCGTTTTTCTTGTCGGGTATCGCGATGCACTGATTTCGTCTGAAGCGCTCCCAGTGGTGGGGTTTTGAGACTGCGTTGCGGGAGCGTTTTGGGGACCCAGATTTTCAATTCGCGCTTAGAAACGAGATCATGCGTCGCACTCAGGGTGAGCACGAGCCGGTTGCCGATTTCCTCACTTGCATGCTCACGT